GTGAGCCACCTGTGGCACGCGTGCCATAGGTTCGCCATCACTTGACTAGGCCATTCCAACACATTTACATGTTTCCCCTTAACTCCTTAAGGACCAAACTTCTGGAATAAAAGGGAATCATGACATGTCACACATGTCATGTATCCTTAAGTGGTTAAACCATTCAAGTGTTGCTTTAGCAGTGTGTTTGGGGTCATTGTCCTGCTGGAAGGTAAACCTCCGTCCTAGCCTCAAATCATGCACAGAGTGGTACAGGTTTTGCTCAAGAATATCCCTGTAGTTAGCACCATCTTTCCCTCAACTTTGAATAGTTTCCCAGTCCTGGCTGCTGAAAAACATCCCCTCTGCATGATGTTGCCACCACCATGTTTCACAGTGGGGATGGTGTTCTTTGGGTGATGTGATGTGTTGGGTTTGCGCCAGACATAGCGTTTTCTTTGATGGCCAAAAAGTAAAAGTTTTGTCTCATCAAACCAGAGCACCATCTTCCATACTTTTTGAGAGTCTCCCACATGCCTTTTCGAAAACTCAAAATGTGCCATTTTGTTTTTTGCTGAAAGTAATGGCTTTCTTCTGGCCACACTGCCATAAGGCCCAACTCTATGGAGCATACGGCGTATTGTCGTCCTATGTACAGATACTCCAGTCTCTGCTGTGGGTTACTTCAGGGTTTCCTTAGGTCTCTGTGCTGCCTCTCTGATTAATGCCCTCCTTGCCCGGTCCATGAGTTTTGGTGGGTTTGCTGTTGTGCCATGTTCTTTCCATTTGGTTATGATAGATTTGATGGTGCTCCTGGGGATCATAAAAGATTTGGATATTTTTTTATAACCTAACCCGGACTTGTACTTCTCAACAACATTGTCCCTTACTTGTTTGGAGAGTTCCTTGGTCTTCATGGCAGTGTTTGGTTAGTGGTGCCTCTTGCTTAGGTGTTGCAGTCTCACACCTCAAAAAAGGTGTGTATATGTAATGACAGATTATGTGACACTTAGATTGCACACAGGTGGACATCATTTCACTAATTATGTGACTTCTGAAGGTAATTGGTTGCACCAGAGCTTTTTATGGGGTTCCTAACAAAGGGGGTGAATACATATGCAAATGCCAATTTTCTGTTTTCTATCTATAAAAAATAGTTTTATGTATATATTTTTCTCATTTCACTTCACCAACTATTGTGTTCTGATCCATCACATAAAATTCAGATTAATAAAACATTGAACTTAAGGCTGTAATATAACAAAATAGGTAAAAAGTCAAGGGGGGTGAATACTTTTGCAAGGCACTATAGATAGTAAAAACAAAATTGAATTGGAGGACACACCCGGAACATTTTTTCAAGATCATTTATAAAACTGTTAAATAGAAGGGGTCCCAGAACAGAAACCTGAGGGACACCACTTGCCACCTCTGGGAGGCTGGGTGGGAAGTGGTGAGGGTTGTTGGATTTGCTGCAGGATGTTAAATGCAGAGCTCCACTGAGTATGAGTGTGAGATGAGGCCTGGAGGACATTTATATGAAGGCATTTACAGCTGAGAGGAGAATAGGAGAGATGGGAGGGAGTGGAGGGTAGAGTAGCCATGTGTTATATAATATTGAAAAGTTTAACAACCAAATTCTATCACCCAAAATATTAATAACTGTCTACATGAAATATTGGTCAGAAACATTAAATGACAATAATACAAACTGCATGCACAGAAAATTACAGTGGCAAACTACAGGTATAAATGGTAACAATTCTATAGTAACACATGATAACATGGTAGCAGTGCAAGAATAAATGAGATGGAGTATCTTCCAAGCTTGTTGGATTTGCTGCAGGATGTTAAATGCTCTTCCCCTATGGCCTCTATCAAGATGCAATAATTCAAGATTAGCAGCTGCTCCAGGAAAGGGTGCCCCTGTCTTCACTGTTGTACATTTGATCATTAGAACTCCTAGCTTGTGCATTACAAAACAATGTGACCATTAAAGGGATCTCAATCTGAAACTTGCCATCGCTAAAGGTGGCCCTATTTGCTGATGATGTTATAGCTTTTTACCTCCTATGCAAGCCATAATATCCCTTTATGACTCCATTTCCTACCTCAAAATAAGCCATTATGGAAATCCTCACATATCAATTATTTTGGCATAAATGTATATGCCACCAGTGTTTCCCTTACCAAGAAAAACTTAGATCATCTATGGGGGTAGGTGATCTATACCAATGGAGAACATTGGAATTTTCATGACTAGTATATATTGCAACAGTAAATATGATGGTGTTGCTGATATTCATATATCTGTTTAGGAACATTCTCTTTCCATTTCCACATCAATCTCTCCATGCTATACAATCTTCACTAAACAAACATATACATGCCAACAAGCAAGGGATGGTCCCATTAGCAACGTTGTACAGATCAAGGATAAATGGAGGTCTGTACCTAACATATTACTACAAGGCAACATCTCTAGCTCAATCCTTTCTCTTCTGCTATGTGCAGGGCCAGTTTGCCTGGCTGGATATCGAAGATGGCACCTTTGCCCAACAGCGAGGTTCTCATTTACTATGGTCACGGAAACAAACATCATAGCTACCGGTAACTACTATCCCTCCCACAACTAAATATAGATTCCAGTTCCGTAAAGAATTACAATGAAAGATCCCACTGCTAGCCCCAATGATGACTGTAGCCACAAATGACCCAATTTTGATATAACCAACTGACAGGTAAGAGGATTGCAATACATAGATCAGTAAGTAAAACAACGCCACATAGACTCTTTTGCTAAACTTCAAACAAAATATGAGTTACCTCTGAAGTAATTTAACAAATGCCTACAAGTGCGACACTGCTGGCAATATCTAAAGTCAGGTCCTCCTGAAACCACAGTGGCTCCTATGGTTAAACTATTCAAATCAACCCCTGAGTCATCAAAGGCTGTCTCAATTTGCTACAGGACCATAATGCAATATAATCATAAAAATTTAATCTTTTATAAAATGAGATGGGAGACTGACCTATGCAAATAATTTATAGAGGGGGAATGGAGACAATGTCTTTCTTACAATGCCTCGATTTCTTCATGAATGAACAATATCAAACTGATATATGGTTTAGATGGTACTTAACTCCAGTCTAATTGAGCTGCTCCCCAAAGTGCTGGAGAAAATACTCAGATGAGGAATCACTTCTTTATGTGTGGGGGTCTTGTCCCCAAATCCAGAACAGTGGGGAACACAATTTGTATTAATCCGAAATATGACATCCATCCAATTAAGCTGCCAGGCTACATTGTCCTCCTAAACATAGCCAAAAACTGGAAAAATGATTATATACCCAACGTAGCACAGGTCAAAGATGTGATCTATACCTATTGTTAAATGGAGTATGTGGCTCACTCTGCAAATAATTTGGTGGCCAAATTTCTTAAGATATGGGCTCTGGTATTGGATCATCAGGCAGACTGGAGGGTGGCAACATATGCTCAGCATAGTAAATTGCTTCATTATTCCATATTATAAGACAGAGCGGTAAACCAAGGCATTTTTGTTCTTTGTTTCATATCTTTATGTTACTATTATAGTTACCTCAATATGGTATCTATTATTGTTATGTTCAGTTATTCTCTATTTTTATGGTTGATTAGACTACCGGCAATTGTTGATTAAAATAACTGTATATTGTGTCTACCACGTTAACATATGTTATGCATACCCTCCTTAAGAAACAATTCAGAATAATGTTATTGAGATACATAATATCATGTCTATTTAATATTACTTTTTGAAATGGTGGACTTTCCTCCTTTTATTGTATGCTGTATCTTGCTTTAAAAGTGAAGATATTAAGTTGTGTAACACCCTAAATATATGAATACCGAAAGTAAGATGGATAAAGTCCTCATGGAATTGTTTTCACCTATTGTATTATAGCTACAAAGCAGTTCACGTTATATTAATGACCATCTAGTACAGACATCAGTTTGCATGAAACGCTATTACAAAAAGCTACTATTTGTATCATCTACTGTGAAAACATGTTGTATGCTTTTTTTCTGACCTAATATATAACTGAAGATTTCAATTGCATTAATCAAAACCAAAAGTGACAGGAAAAGCTACATGTATTTTAAAGGTAATCAAGCCCTGATTAGTCTATGCTATAATTTCTTTTAAATGGTGATCTTTGGTGTTTACTCACTTAGGATGAAAATGTTTTTTAACCTTGAATCTAACTTGTGCTTGGTAATCAAATCATCTGTCAGATGCATTTTTCCCAGAGCAAACAAACCCAATTTGGCTTGTCAATCTTCATGATTTAATTCCTCTATTCACTATATTTATTCTGTTGCCCTTCTTTGTCCTCTCTCCATTTCCATAATGTCTCTTTCGTACTGCTGTCCAGAACAGCAGGCTGTATTCCAGATGAGGACTAACTAATGATTTATAGAATGGCACAATGACACAGGAAGGAAAATTCATGTACAGGTTCAAGATATTACTTTAGCTCCTTCTCTAATCATTTATGGACAGTCTGTGTAGGACATTGGTTCTTTAACACCTCACAGTAGAACTGGAAACCTGCAGTACCATGACTGGAAGATTTTAATTCTGAGACATTTTTGTACAATCTTTTTGAAATTGAGTTTTGAGAAAACACTATCCATGCAAAAGCAAAAACTCCAGATCGAAGAGCATAGAAACTATGAAACTAGTTCCTTTTTTCTTAATAGACTGACTCATAAAGCATGTTACAATTTAAAAAAAAAATATTTGCATAAGTTATGTGCCTACTCTGATAATTCATATACAGGGAGTGCAGAATTATTAGGCAAGTTGTATTTTTGAGGATTAATTTTATTATTGAACAACAACCATGTTCTCAATGAACCCAAAAAACTCATTAATATCAAAGCTGAATATTTTTGGAAGTAGTTTTTAGTTTGTTTTAGTTATAGCTATGTTAGGGGGATATCTGTGTGTGCAGGTGACTATTACTGTGCATAATTATTAGGCAACTTAACAAAAAACAAATATATACCCATTTCAATTATTTATTATTACCAGTGAAACCAATATAACATCTCAACATTCACAAATATACATTTCTGACATTCAAAAACAAAACAAAAACAAATCAGTGACCAATATAGCCACCTTTCTTTGCAAGGACACTCAAAAGCCTGCCATCCATGGATTCTGTCAGTGTTTTGATCTGTTCACCATCAACATTGCGTGCAGCAGCAACCACAGCCTCCCAGACACTGTTCAGAGAGGTGTACTGTTTTCCCTCCTTGTAAATCTCACATTTGATGATGGACCACAGGTTCTCAATGGGGTTCAGATCAGGTGAACAAGGAGGCCATGTCATTAGATTTTCTTCTTTTATACCCTTTCTTGCCAGCCACGCTGTGGAGTACTTGGACGCGTGTGATGGAGCATTGTCCTGCATGAAAATCATGTTTTTCTTGAAGGATGCAGACTTCTTCCTGTACCACTGCTTTAAGAAGGTGTCTTCCAGGAACTGGCAGTAGGACTGGGAGTTGAGCTTGACTCCATCCTCAACCCGAAAAGGCCCCACAAGCTCATATTTGATGATACCAGCCCAAACCAGTACTCCACCTCCACCTTGCTGGCGTCTGAGTCGGACTGGAGCTCTCTGCCCTTTACCAATCCAGCCACGGGCCCATCCATCTGGCCCATCAAGACTCACTCTCATTTCATCAGTCCATAAAACCTTAGAAAAATCAGTCTTGAGATATTTCTTGGCCCAGTCTTGACGTTTCAGCTTGTGTGTCTTGTTCAGTGGTGGTCGTCTTTCAGCCTTTCTTACCTTGGCCATGTCTCTGAGTATTGCACACCTTGTGCTTTTGGGCACTCCAGTGATGTTGCAGCTCTGAAATATGGCCAAACTGGTGGCAAGTGGCATCGTGGCAGCTGCACGCTTGACTTTTCTCAGTTCATGGGCAGTTATTTTGCGCCTTGGTTTTTCCACACGCTTCTTGCGACCCTGTTGACTATTTTGAATGAAACGCTTGATTGTTCGATGATCACGCTTCAGAAGCTTTGCAATTTTAAGAGTGCTGCATCCCTCTGCAAGATATCTCACTATTTTTGACTTTTCTGAGCCTGTCAAGTCCTTCTTTTGACCCATTTTGCCAAAGGAAAGGAAGTTGCCTAATAATTATGCACACCTGATATAGGGTGTTGATGTCATTAGACCACACCCCTTCTCATTACAGAGATGCACATCACCTAATATGCTTAATTGGTAGTAGGCTTTCGAGCCTATACAGCTTGGAGTAAGACAACATGCATAAAGAGGATGATGTGGTCAAAATACTCATTTGCCTAATAATTCTGCACTCCCTGTATATCAGCAAGATGATGAAATCACCAGCCACAACTGTTCAATCATTCAACCCCAACAAACAAAGAGAAAACCACCTGTTCTCTAAACTTCATTTATTAACTTAAACAAACATTAAAACAATAATTTGATGATTAGGTAAATGCAAATGTTTACATACCTTTACCTGACAGAGCAGCATATCCTGCAATATGGGGACTTTATATCCGTACTATAGAATGCAAAAGGGAAAACAATGAAAAACAATACTTCAGCCATTAACACACTTTAAATGTTGGATATTCTAGATCAACTTAATAACAGTTATGATTTTCATTGAAATGCTTAATAAAGGGTGCTAAACTGAATGCAAATATTGCAAGGAATCATGCTGGTATCTATATTGCTGCTGTAGATTTAACAGCTGCTATTTATGCTGCTGTTATTGTTGATGTAGGTGTTTTTTGTGTTACTACTGATACTGAAGCCAAGAGCACTGCTGTGTCACCTAACCAATGAGGAGGATGAGCAGACAGTAGGCATCCACCATAGATTTTAAATGTCAGAGCAAGACGTAGTAGAGGGCTCTCACTTCCTTCAATTATTTGACCTAATCAAAGATTACATTGCCCACATTAAATTGGATTGCACTGCCCTTGCAGGATTTCCAAGGAATGCCCATGATGAAGCCACTCTTATGCACTAATTTCTGTGCAGACATTTAGAGGCTGGCGTCATTACTGGAAGTTTATTACTGAGCATGTACGTATGCCTTTATACCCCTGATGTTATGCATTAATGGGTTAATAACAAAAATCCAAAGGCAAATGAATGCTAAAAAAAATTGAAAAAACCTGGAAAAAATATAATTTAAAGTTATCAAGAAACAGTCAAGAAAATTACATATAAGAATAATATAAAATGTCTAAAATAGTTATTAAAAATTAAAATAAAAAAAGATTAGTTAATTAATTAACTTGCCTATGTTTTTTGTTTTAGTAAGAAGATCAGTCTGTTGGATCATTTCTCCATCCTTTTGCCCTTCTCCAATATGGCCACCGGGGTCTGCCACATGACCCGCTTTGTTCTTTCAGCCAATTGTTTGAGAGATGGACTTTCACACTGCCATCTCTTCTTTTTTGGTAGTCTTCCTTGAAATCGAGGAACCAAATGACTCCCTACATATAATATTGCCCCACTTATGCTGCTAACATTCATTTATAGGTTAGTCACATGAAACGCTGTAACGATCCACCTCATGTGACATTAATATTCTTTATAACGGTACCAAATAGCTTTTCAGTTTAATCTGAACTCGTACAATAGTTATAGTTACTTATTCTCTGTATATATTTTGATAACACATATATGCCTATTTTCTATGCATATTTGTTTCTAGACATAGTCATGTGATCGCTATTGCAGTCACGTCACCATTACATAGTTTTACACAACTTCTAATTTGTGCTTCTCCTATGTAACCTGATATGCCAGGTGCTCTTGCAATTCACTTGATAAAGCCTCTGTAACAGATGAAACATGTTGTGTTTTTTTTTTAACTTATTTTTATTAATGTTATATTATCACTTTAATTTTTTTTGCTTCTGGCATTCCTTGTGAAACACACTTCTGTGAACTCTGGACACCTTATCCCCGGTGGTGTTTGCACAACCAATGCGGAGTACACCAATGCGGTCCGACTGCTAAGATAATGTAAGTGAGCACAAACTTGTATTTTTTTCTTCTTATTATCATTTATGCTGCTGAATGAATTGTGACTAGTATACATCCTTAAAGTAGGGGTTGTACCTCCTTCACCTTTGGAAGTAAGCTCCTCCTTGATGAGTGTATTTCCTATTTTTTTCTGCACATTGCTCACTTTCAGTTTACAATATCACACTATTGCATTTTGATTTATTTCAGTATCCTTCACTGAAAATCACTGGAGTAATGTTTACAACATTTTTATCCACCAGTGGGGATTATACCACTATACGCTGTTGTAACTTTAGCTTGTTTGAAGTCCATATTATGTGAGTGGGCACTTGCACATTTTCGTTTTCACATTTTAAGTAATACTGCACCATCAGTTTTCTACTTTTTACATGTACCCATTAATAAGCAAAAACATTTGGTGAAAATTGTGGACTGTGTCATTTGACCTATAATTCTTGCACCTTTTATTAGGTGTTATTAGGCAACCTGTTGTGTTTGTTGTTCTCTGTTCATTTGTGGGGTATGGAGGGAGTACCCTCTTTCAGTATTTCCTGTCTAGGGCAAAATTATCTGTCCTGTGTATATTTTCTTCAGTTTCTTATTAATGGGTTAACATCAATGTTGTTGTTTTTTCTTGTACGGGTAATGCTGGCAATAAGTGTCCGTATGGCTGCTGACTACAGTGAGTAATTCTCAGACTCTGGCAGAAAAAGCACAATGATGCTTACATTAAAATACTAATTGTCATAGAAAAACATTTTGGTTGATAAAGACCCAGTTCAGGTGTCTGGGTCAGAGCTTTGAATCCCTCCAATACAACCCCCAAGAAGGTAAGCTCCATCATCATGATATTGCATTCTCTATAATATTACTGTGGATACACATCTATTGGGTTTGCCTTGTTACTTTACCCAACAGCATCTCTACCTCAGAGGCAGTAGGCAGAAGAAAAGTCATAGGTCCACAGGAGGCAGAACAAGGTTGTTCAGGAAAAGTTCACCTATAAGTGTCAAACATGAATTATAATATGCAAGATGAAGAAAGAAGGTTGCAGTGCCTTGTGAGTGTCTTCTGATTCCGTGCATGTAAAATGTACTGGTGCAGCAACAATTTTCCAGGAAGTGTGTCCGGATTCAGATGCAGATGTGGCATAAAAGGAATATAAAAACAGTCAATAGTGCTCACTGATTTTAAAAAAAGCAGTATTAAAATTAAGTAAAAAGGAGAGCAAAAATGGTTTTGCTCAATCCAAATAGCATAGGTGGTATAATCTCCACCAAGGATATTTCTTTTGGATAAAATACTCTAAAAGCAATTGGGAGGGCCTAAAGTAGATAAAAAGTATACTCTTTTTATTACATAAAATATAAAAATACACTTAAAAATACACTTTACGCGTTTCTGCCAAATAACATGCTTTAAAAATAAGCAGTATAAAACAATGTCCTGGTTATACAATGTATATAATATTAACTTTTTTGCTTTTATTTCTTCTAGTCACTCTGGTTGGATTTGCTTATGTTGCAGTGGTTTATGTAGACAGGGCTGGATTAAGAGCCGAGTGGGCCTGGTGCTGACAAATATGACGGGCCTAATTACGGAATCTTATCAACCAAAAACACTAAAACAATCATACCTCCCAAGCGTCATGTATCTGATGGAGATGGTGCTGGAGGGAAACTCATAGGATGTAGTTATAAGAAAACACATACTCTATGCTAATTTCTCTCTAATTTATGTTTTCATCTTTCAAGTAAATCCATAACCCCTAACAGCAGTGTCCAGTGAAGCAGGAAGTCAATGGGCGGGGTAAAAGGGTGTGCCACTGGCGCAAATCACGTGACAAGACCTGCCAAAAGGGGTGAACATGCCCAAAAAGGGGGCATGTTTGTCCAAAGAATTGGAAGGTCAGCCTGGCATGAATGCATGTCAGGCTGCCTGCCAATCCTGCAGGCTGTCCAACTAAGGGCATACTATGCAGGCAGCACCATGAGCTTGACATAAATGCATCTAATGATGTGCTCACTCCGTGCTTTCTAAGGACTGTCCCCTAGCACTCACTGGTCCACTTGTCTCCTTGCCTTCTTAGTAGCAGGTAGAAGTTCCTGGTATATAGTCTGAGACAGAGTAAAGGTGTATGTAGTGAGTGTAGTGTATGTAGTGAGTGTAGAAGAAAGGGGACGTGCCAGAGTGTTAGAGAGACCAGCGTCTGCATTACCTAAACTAATTTTATTGTCAGCTAGTCCACACAAGTTTTGTTCCCATACATCCCTCTTAAGCTTCCAAACTTAAAGGGA